GGGGGGAATGTTTGGAAATAATAATGTTTTATTTGAAAAAAGTATGCGATAAGGGAACAGAGATGTAACTTATAGTCTTAATAGTGAGAGGTGAAGAGTTCCCCCCCCGCGCGCGTGCACGGTTAGCAAAAGCGTGGGGTTGCACGACTAGAAAACCTCATCTCTTCAGCTCTCACTGTTAAGACTGACGTAACGTCTCTGGTTCGCTTACGCAAGTCTTGTCCAATTACCAGCAGGGTGCTCCACGACATAATGTAAGCGAAGGGGCTATAACAAGAGAGGAGTTCTGGCCCCCACAAGACTTTCCATCATAACTCCTTTTCTCTGCTTCAACTTCTAGCCAAGGGGTACCTGCTCCATCGCTTGTTTCCCTTTCTTGAGTTTTAGCTACCTTATCTACCATACTTACCGAGCTACAGCTCGCCTAGGTAACAACAAGTTATGCTACCACCTCCTGGTTTCGACGATGACTCGGAGCGCCTGAACAGATGTGGTACAGACAATGCAGTTAACGACAAGGAATCTCCACACAATAATCAAAAATTACAGCCACCTGCGGAGAACACCTCAGTTGAACCTTCCCGCAAAGAGGAGACTCATGAGACGGCTCAAAAGCAACAAATCTTCATCGAAGTAGCCCCCAATATCGCCATACCACTACTTATCAACCTCTCAACAGCCACCGCAGGCAGCATATTTGAGCAAATCGACAAGTGGTTCGTGGATGGTCGCTCGAAAGACGCCTTCTTTTTCTACTTCAATGGCAAAGTGCTGGAATCGCGGAAGTTGCTCTCGGAGTACAATCTTGAGCCAGGCTCTACTTTGCTCCTCGAGAAGAACGTTGAGGTTATGCCTTACGCCGCACGGTTTGGGACCTTTGAATCAGAGCTCGGTAGAGATAGTTCAAGAGTTGTGGGTGGGGAGAGGATCGGTACCTTTGACGACTGGCCACCCCGGGAGCCTTCGATGATGAAAAAGTTCCTGACATGTTCTTTCCGAGGTTAACATGAGAAATGCGGTGAGGATATCTTGTCTGATTAGTAGATAGATGGCTGTATGCAACCCACGTCGTCCATTCACACTATCTTTCCGTATAGCCACCCAATACTGTTGCCCGGTACCAGCAGAACTTTCAATGGTCGCTCACTGATTGGCCATCGTCCCGCTACACAAATAGGTAGTTTGCGGCTGAGCTCAACTTGATCTCTGTAAGCAGCCATTCCCAATGAAGCTCGCGAACGATCATACGATACAAGAATAGTCCACACATGTTGCTGCATGACCCATGTCGCCACTTGTGGAACTCATGCAAGACGCCATATGGCTGGCTTCTAAGCGTGAGCCCATGTAAAACATTGGGACTAGCCACTTCAAAAAATTATATACCACGCCATACGTGAACGTTTCCTGGAGTTTCATGGTCAGATTTCAATGAACATATGCCATTTTTCCTAGATGCCTCCAACAGCACAATGACGCCAAACACTTACTCTCCAACGGCTCCGCCTCCGACTGGCAGCGCGAATAACGTAAACCAAGAAGATGATCAGTCACCATTCCCGACCCAACACACGAGTGAGGCACCATATATGCTTCCGCAACTGCCTCCTCCAGCACCAAGCAACTAATTTTACCCGCCACCCCAACAAACTCAGAGATATGGGTCATTTCACGGGGAGCCACCAGCCCCGGCCCCGTACATATCTCCGGGGCCACCTCCTCCAGCACCAGCAACAAATCTGCATGATAGACGGGAATTTCCTACTATGAGACAGGGCTATTATGAAGATCCAAGACCAAACAACTACTTTTGCACGCCACCAAACCCTCGTGGTACACCCACCACAGCCCAAAGATGCGCCTCATTTCACGAGGAGCCGCCGGCCTTGGTCATGGTCAGAGTTCCACCAAGAGAAGGGAACCGATGTGGCTCGTTTTCAGAAGAGAAAGGTGGTTGGAGGACTCGACATCCGAAGCTGGTGTCATTTTTGAGGCTCTTTTGATGTATCAGAGCTTCCGGGAAGGGATAGTTGATGTTGAGTGCACTGTCTTTCATTGTGGAAGGTCGTCATGAGAAACGAAACACGAAGCGAGGCATACTAGGTTTTCAAGATACCTACGTAGGCACCTTAGGCAGTCAGGCGTTCACCAAAATCGGCAGCCATAACCCCGCTCCCAGGTTTCACACCATCTTTCTGCAGAGCTCCTCGTTGATAGGCTGTCTTGACGAGGGGGGTGTCTGCGCAGCGGCTCACCAATTGGCTTTCGTCATGAAAGCGTCGTTCGTGGCTTTGAGCCCCTATCCGAGAAATGATAAGCATCTCGGCGAGAAAGGTTGCCCGAAACAGCAGCGATGTGACAGGTTTAGACCTCTAATGTCCGATTGCTCTCTTAAAAGCCCTGACATCTTTGTGGAAGACAGGTACATGACTTTGTCCCACACATCTCCCGACAATTAGAGCCCCATAAGGCTGTTCAAAGCACTCTTTATCAAAGTCTTCAGTCCCACCATGCCGCCTCTCATATCCTTATTGAAACGTCCCACCAAGGGAAGCCCGCGGCCTACCCCCGGTCAGGCTTTAAGGCACGGTTATTTTGAAGATTCACGAATTCAATCTGCTGGGTTGGAAACATCCGGTCCTCTCAGGGAGGGGTCCAGTGCGGGCATCCCGGTCGAAGGAGGCCGGTATGGAGTGTATTATCAACAGTCAGGAAGCCAAAGGCTTTGGCATTCAAGATTGGCGTCTTGTCTGAGAGTGTTTGGATGCGGTTAGCTGGTTTTGCAAAAGAGGGCTTGCAGGGTGGGATATGATCGAGATCGTTGTTCGTTTACAGGAGAGAGATGCCGATAATTCAAGTAAGCGAGTACACGTACCCGTCTCAGTCAGTGTATCTGTGTACATAAAAGCTCAAGTCAACCATGGAATCCTCTCAGATAACGGATTAGTCCAGATCAGCTCCGGGCAGGGCACATCGGTGGCGTGGGTTTCGAAGGTACCAAGGCTAGTGATATGGAGGTCTTGTAAGCATTGCAGAATCCATAGAAGTGGCGTGACCGTCACGAATATAATCTCCATAATTATACACCCAAAAACAACAACAAGAAGACCGCCGACAGGTATCGCCAGAAGGGTGCACAATCTTTCGCGGTTCCTCAACTCGAACACCATCAATAGCCCAACAACCATGAAACATGCTCCGTAACCAGCACCTATGCAAGCTAGGAGCGGCATTGTAGAGATCCAAGAATCCAGCATCCAGCTCCAACCTCGTACATAACCGTCGTGGAAGAGAAAAGAAATCGAGGGATGATAGTTGAAGATGAGGCAAACCAGCCGAGTGGTTGCAATATGCTTGAATAGCTGAGAAAAGCCCACAGCCTCCGTGACCTCACTTGGACAGACGTCTCGGAAGATAAAGCCAACAGAATCAATCGTCTCTGTGTTGAGCTATTCGGGAACAGGTTGATCGAAGATTGGGACGCGCAAGATGTAACACAGTGTAAAGATGCCAGCAACCAAACCTGCGCAGGCTAGCTCGAAGATTCTTTGACTCACGGTGGAAACAGCGTTCATTTCCCTTCGTCGCTGGTAGAGGACAATGGTCCCAACACATAGGGCTAGGAAGAAGGTAGCTGTGATCAGTCTCCCGACCATCTCTGCGGTTTCCTTCCAGGTCTCAGGTACTGGATTCCACGTTTGTTCCGTCCCGTCTCCAACCAAAAGTTGATTCTCTCTCGAGGTTGACTGCTGGTAGGTGAGCCGATTTGGGGGCACCTTGGCAAAGAGACATCGCAAATTCGCCTTTAGTCTGGCTTCTGGATTGTGATCACCTCGGTTTCGATCGAGAATTGGACTAAACCTCCGGGAAAGTAGGCCGAATAGGTAAATACTGAAGATGAAGACCAGACCCAGGACATATGATATCACATAACTCAGGGGCGCGAGCCAAAATTACAGCGGACTCCATGTGAAGCAGGTCTTTTCCTTGATCTTGAGAAGTCGGTAATAAGAGAAGAGCGTAGTGACGCTGACAACCAAGAGCTTGATATACAACTCTCCAGTGTCGCGTCGTTCATCGATGGGACATGGCTGCTGGGGTAAAGTGATTGTTTTTAAGATGTGGTCGCCCATCTCTGATCATGATTCAGCTGAGTTGTAGAATTCTCAGAAAGAAAATGAGGCAAACTCACTCAGGTTTTGATGTGTTGGACTTGTCCAGCTCATAAGCTATTGGCTTGGCGGTCGGTGGCTGAGCTATTGGTTTTCGTGGAGTTCGACGCTTCACTGAGCTCCTCTCCTTGACAGTCATTGGGCACCATATTGTAAACAGAGGCCTTTTTAACAATACAATAATTGTGCCTTTCATGGGAAAGCCTGACAGGCCTTTGGTGCTCGTGGAGCTTTGTGGTTGACTTCCAACTGAGGGAGCTTATCTTGCCAGCTTATCCGAGTGTCGCAGTAAGAACTGAGGCCGCCCCTTGCAAAATCACGACCAACCACAGGCCGATAAGACCCTACAAATAACTTAGGTACGCATAAGCGCCTGCTCGGCAAGGCTGCCTGCGCAATTCGCAAACCCCGTCGCCAGTTTACCTAGACGTCTCGATGCACCGCCACCTCCGCTCAACACTGAACACAATGAAAGGATTTCCCCCGCTGCTGCCCCTGGAGTCCTGAGGAACTCTCGAACATCGCTTGGAATTGTCATATTTTCAATATCCAGCATCTCTTACTCTGATGAGATGGCCGACCCACTTTCAATCGTTGGTGCTGTGGGCTCGGTGGCAGGCATCATCGATGTCCTGTCACGATCCATCAGCGCCATTGCAACCCTCCGCAACCAGTACAAGGATGCCGACCTACTATTCATGAACCTCACCAGTCAGCTGAGCGTCCTACGAACAGGGCTGGTCAAAATAGCAGAATGGGCCGAAACACAACCAGAGCCTCACTATCAGCTAAAAATGGACCTGGATTCGGTGCTGATGTGCTGCCAAATCCTGGCCAGCAAACTCGACAACCACCTCGAGAGTCTGCATCAGGGACGCGTGCGGTTGAGCAGCATTGGAAAGTTGAAGCTCGCTTTGAACGGATCCAATATCGACGCCATCCAAAAGATGCTCGGACAACAGACGGCCACCTTGACACTACTCCTAGCAGCCTGCAACACCAAATCACTTGCTGAACAACGAGAGCTCCTCGAGGCGCCATCCACACGAACCGCCATCGCCGCGATGGAGCAGGACTCGGCCTCTCTGATCGTGCACGAAGACAGAACTTCAATATGCACCGTGGAGACTGACACCCTGTCGAGACTCTCTGCCATCTTCCCATTCGACAGCCAACTGCTCACCACAAAGGTTTACGGTCGTGCCTGGAGAACAACCTTCTTGAACCGTGGTCCAAAAACATCCCGACGAACATTGTCTGAAGCAACGACCCTATTGCCAGCTGAAACCGAAAGGAGAATGACGATAACGATACACCGAGTCCCCAACAGAAGGAACAGTACTAGCAACATCCCCATCGGCCCTCCTTTCAATTCGAAAGTCAAAATCCTGCTTTTAGGAGCTGGGGGTTCAGGTAAGAGCACGCTGTTGAAACAAATGCAGTATGTCTGGGGCAACCAGAGTCAAATGCCGATGTCTCATGACAAGATCCGCATTAGACGTGAAGTTGTCCAGGAACTTTGTCGCTTTTTCTATTTACTCCTGTTTGGCCAGGAAGACGCTGTGGCTCAACTGGTGTGTGGAAAAATGGTTAGTCGCCTGCCCCTGGAGCCCTACCATTCATGTTCTGGACGCTGACATTATGGACAGGACATCCTCAAAGACGCCATCGCCCTTCATGAGATGGACAACTTTGCAGATGAGGATGATATCATCTTTTGTGATCGGGTGGTTCCGCTAATCCGCGAGGTTTGGGCTGATGAGACCTGGCGCGCTCGTGCAATGAAGAACCTGAAGAAGAAAAGGTCAAAGCCGCCATTTGATGTTGAATAGTAAGGTGGCGCCCTACATCATGTGTCTTTTCTCAGGTGCTCGGCTAACATTTTCTCTTGTAGTTTCATGCGCCATCTTGATCGAATTTCCGACAAAAACTACGTGCCAACTGACCAGGACTTGATGCACATTTCACCAGTGGTCCAAACACTAGGCATCTCACGCTCTGTCTTCACAGTTGGCAACATACCATATTCTGTATACGACGTTGGAGGCTCCCGATCCGAAAGACGGAAATGGATTCACGAATTCGAAGATGTTGATATTGTCCTCTTTCAGGCTCCTGTAGGGGCATACGATGAACGACTACGTGAAGATAAATACTCGGTACGTTATTTGCCTACCTAAAAGTCCGCTCTTGCACAATTGCTGATATATACCCTCCTTCAAGTTCAACATGGAAGAGTCATTAAACCTTTTCGAGTCCCTTGTCAACTCAAGATGGTTCTCCAACACAACATTCTTTGTCAACTTCACAAAAAGAGACCTCTTTGAGCAAAAGGTCAACAGTAGTCACGTCCCAATTTCTGACTTTCATCCTGAGTATCAAGGAGACCCAGGTGATGTGAAAGCAGGGGTTCAATTTTTCATTGACGAGTTTCAAACCAGAGTTGAGGAGCATCCGGGCGGTTCTATCCATATGACTGTTCTTGATACGACCGACACAGCTCAGGCGACATTGTTGTTGCAAAGGGTTGTTCAAGTGGCTGAGGCGAAGAGGAAGTCTGCCTTTATTTGAGTGGGATTCGAGCAACACCAAGACTTGAAAAATACCCAACTATTCGTTCTTCTCACTCTCGTGTCGTTTGACATGCACCTCTGACACGCCATGATAGGCTGGCAGCTCTGGGGTATACTGTGTATCTTCCAACTCCCAAGCTTCTCTGTGATGTGACAGCTCCATGGTCCCGTTGTCTGCTGGCATCTCCCACGGGAAATGGTCGTTGGAGCCTAGCTCTAATTGGGCCTCCTTTTCATCATCCATTACGTGCGGGCTTTCCTCAGGGCTTTTATCACGTCTACTCCGTCGTCGATGTCGTCGGATGACAACATAAATCCCGATGGCAATGAGCAAAACGATGATAGTGGTAGAGACGATAACCGCTATCTGGGCTCCCTGACTCAAGCCAGAGTTCCGGGTCCCAGCTTGGGCCCCAGGAGACGGCAAGCTAATAGGCGGGTTGTCCCTTCCCATCGCATCGGGCGAAGTGTCTGTTACGATTGTCGATGACGACCCCGCGCCTCTTTCGGCGTGTGTTGTGAGACGTGCCAAAGAGAGAGCCGCTGAGCTGCTTGCAGGATCGAAAGGCAGGCATAGTTGACTGGGCAACAGTTCCCTGTTAAGGATTAGTCTCACAGATAGCCTTCGCATGAAAGGTGAGAGAGAGGACTGCTCACCTCCAGTATCCTCGTGACAAGCACGGTAACCTTCAAAGTTGGGACATGGCCTTACAGGCTCCGTCAAACTCAAGTTCTCGTCCCAACCTGGGAGGTGGCATGTCCTCTCTCCGCAAACGTATCCTATCGGATAACACCCGTCGATTGTGATGTTAGGACTACAAGCGAAATAGTCCTTCCTGCCGCATACAACTGATTCTGTGGTGTTGGTGGCCATCTCAAAGTCTTCCGAAAGGTGTTGTAAGTCCAGTTGTGAGACAAGAAGAGCTGCGCAGGAAAGAAAAGCAGGTCTCCTGTGGCCTGGAATTTAAAGTGGTTCCCAGTTAGCCCAAATTCATACGCTTGCACCGTCGTTCCCCAGCTCGAGCGTTACATTCAAGCTTGCCTCATCACCCCGCTGTGCTACCCAGGATGCAGGTTAATATACTCGCAGTGTGTATGATTGGCTCGCTGTTGCGGTATTGGGAGCTATGTCTCAACCGACTTACTCGAATTTGGCTGCCTGACCACCTTGCCTACCTTGGGTACTTACAAGTACCCATCCTCGCAACAGATATCTTTCGCCGTGTTACTTGGGCCAATTACTCGCCCGTGGACTTGATCAAGATCTTTCTAAAGAACAGCTGATATGTAATTCTGAACTGAAGATGACATCACATTGATAGAGCCATCCCCAATCCTAGGAGAGGTATTCAACGTTCGACTGGTGTATACACATAACTCCCCATCCTTGTAGTTGACCGTCTGACCTAAATATTGCAGCACTTGTAATTTGATCCACCAGGGCAACGTTCTAAGCACTTGATCAATAACTGATGTCTACAAAACAAGGAAATACTGGAGCGGAAAGACTTACCAGATATCCATCTACCCAAGCAACCGTTCGACGTCCAGGTGCACCACGAATCGGCACCACAGGGTTGTGTGGCAGCGTTAGGAGTGATACCGACCAAGCAGCACTTGACGTCGGACGGGTCGTTGGGACAGGCACCAGTCTTGTATGAGCCGCCATACGAGTTGCAAGTCGATGTCCTGACGCAAATGCCAGACTCTCCCCACTTGCCAGTGGCCGCGCTGCCTGTGCACCTGCCGTTGAGAGCGGCCAAGGCAGCCAAGGGAAGAGTGGCGAGGACGAGGATGGAGTGCATTGTGGTGATTTGGTCTTTGCCGGTCAGAGGATAGGTTCCAAGTTGAAAGACGAACCTTGCGAAGCGAATGGTTGGAGGTCCAAGTCCACTCTATTTGTATCCCCCCTCCCCTCACACCAGTGCCAGGGTCCCTGACTCATCAGTCCACAGTCTAGACCATATTCTTGCTCGCAAATGGACGAAAATCTCGTTTCGTTACCGATAATTCTTTTCTCGATGTAACTTCGCTACGGTTCCTAAAGACAAATGGGAAGGGCTTCTGGCCTGCCCAGACACGGACAGTTGTAAGATCACGCGACCAAAAGGTTATTTTTACCTCCTGCTTGGACGAATGTAACATCTTTAGCCAACCGAAAGTTCTAGGTGTGGGAGCAGCACGAGTAAAAAGTTTTGATATTTACCCGGACTGAATGGGAGGATGGTAGGTCTGTCCTGCATGCCAAGCTGAACCTGGGGCTGGTCGTCATATCATTTGTCTTTTCCATTTGACCAGATGAAGGCGGTCAATGATCCAGCAGCCGAATACCCGTACATCTTACAAGTTGGGATGTGGACGGTTGGCTGTGTTGTCCTATGCCGGGGTGTTGGACGAAAGAATTATAAAACAAAGAAAACTGCGAGTGACGCCTCGGGCAAAGGCAATAAGTGATGGCGTTGGAAATGTACCAGAATGATCAACCAAGGCTCAAAAGCCATGCAAAATCGACCAATTCTGTGAGTCTGGCTGCCCCATTAAGCTGCGGCCATCGGTCGAGATACCATTCGAGTGTTTTGCAGATCGAATTGGACACTCGTGAATCCACACCAAATGCCGCGGCCAATCCCAGCAAAACCTTGCATGGCCCATTCTTCGTAGATCCAGACGCATTTCTCTGTTCCTTCCGTTCCTTCGCATATGGATCCAGCTCATGTGGAGATCTAAGTACTAGTCCAATTAATTCACTGTCGTGAAAAAAGAAGACTTTATGAATTTCCGGGCACTCAAACAGCTCGCCCTTCTCTTCCCAAAACTCGGTAACCCCATTAAAAGTTTAGGGTCACATTACAGGCAATAATACTGTCATCTTGAGAACAGAAAGGAGCGGGTAAAAGGCGACGCTGGCAGCAGACCCATTCTCTAGAGCTTACGTCATGGAGCTATGTTTGGGCGGCTTCTATACATGTGGCAAGTGTACAGCCCCCTGAATATACAGGTCTTCATGCAAGAAAGAAGAGTCCAGAGCAAATTACATCACCCTGTTGCTAAAACCTCTGCGCCACTTTGCTCTTTTTTATAGACCGTATCAGACTGAGATGCAGGTGAGACACCGAGTCTGGAGTCGATGCTGCACAAGTGCCTGGGCACAAAGAGAGATCTATTTGCATTAACGAAGCTCAAAGGAATATGCATCAATTCCACTCGAGAAGAGACCCAAGAACTTTCCAAGTCTCCAAGCCGACATATGATGATCTTCGAGTTTCCACATGATCGGACATGGAGACAAAGGGGTCAGGGGAAATAAGGTTAAATCCTACTGACGACGACATGATGATTGTTGGGATGGCGATTGTCAACTGTGAGGTTCGATCGCGATGATGGGAAACGATGAAGTCGATATTTTTGTCGATCCATATCACGGCTACAGAGCATTCCAGATGGCCAAGGCTCGCAAAAGGACGACAAAAATCTCTCGCTCGCTTGTGATTCCTAGAGTGGTCGAGACAAACCTTGACAGCTTCCTTCTCCCAGCTAGGGTCTGTGCGTGATGCGTGGTGGATGGAGATTCTCGGCCTGCAAACGAACCGTCGATGACTGGCTATCGATGGACAGCGGGGATGCCACGGACCCTTGCCCCTGCTTTTCCTTGCAACTGCCATCCCGAAAAAAGAAAGGGTTGGTCTTGGCAGGAACGACAGGGCAGCAGCAGTGGAACATCACCTTGCTCGATAGCCTGGAAGATCTGAGCGTCGCAGATCTACGCCGAAAAGGGTTCCCACCACGTGCGGGTCAACCAGTGGAAGTTCTCCCAAAACCTCCCTCCGATCAATATATTTGCATCAACCCCGCACTGTTTCGAAGTCAACGCCTCAACAACCCTTCGGGACCGCAGACATGCTCTCGGACTCCCCTCGGGTCCTCGATAACACCCTCTTGTGAAGAGAGACAACCTCTGATTGGGGCTCTGACGCATTGACATCAATGGCGGCTTGGAGATATCGACATCTCGAGACAAAGCGCCATTGTCGTGGGTGCGGCACTTTTTTCCGTCATCAAAGACAAGAAGAAAGTCACACACACTGTTCGAGAAGCTCCGGAGGGGCTGGCGAACACGAGACACGAGACATCCCGCCAAAATGCAAACGGTTGACCTGAGACCCTCCGACCTTCGCCTTGCTGCAAGGAATTTCGACCCCGTGAATGTCATGACAAACAGAGGAATACCACCCGAGTGGGTAAAGAGAGCAGATCCTCATCCTTCAGCCGAGCCGTACGACTCGCAAAAATGCCTGCGATGCCGACGCCCGTCGGATGCTCAGCTGTTGTCGTGGACGCACTGATGGCCTCAGCTGGTTGGCCCACATGGCTTGCGTGCCATTATGGATACATAGCGCCGGGTCAAAGCAAACAACGATTGACGCCTCTAGCCAAATTGGTGAGATCAGTCCGTTTCAGTGGTCATAGGTACCGCCGAGTGGCGTCCCGGCCCGCATTGTGGTCAAAGCTGCTTCTCCTGACCGACTCCTCTCCCCCCCTCGATCGCTATTAGCAAGCAAGCCCTACATATCTTGGCCGTCTCGTCCCGTTTCTTGGTCCGCTTCTCTCACTTCATCACGAATGTAAAACGAATCAACGTCCGCCCGGGAACTGCTCCCTCTCCTCACTCCCTCTGCGGTCTCCGAGACTGCTCACCGTCACCATGCCGCTCAAAGTTCCAGAATGGCTTGACTGGTACAAGAAGCCCGAGTACCGGGACATCAAAGAATATTCGGCACACGTCAATGCAGGCGAGCGCCCTCAGAGCCCGACTCCGGCTGCCATTCCAAGCCGCTTGAGGCTCGACCGCATTCTCGCAAACAAGACATGCAGTCCGATGTCCCTTTATGACTTTTACATGTACCTCAAGTACATTGAGTTCTCGGCCGAGAACCTCGAGTTCTACATCTGGTGAGCACTTACACTTGACCTTCGCCCGCCAACAGGACTAATGGATGACACAGGTACAAAAACTACGAAGCATCCTACGAAAAGGGTCTCACGCCAGTTCACACGAAGGAATATGGGGCTATTCCCAGCGCAGCAGAGTCGACTTCATCCATTGTCAAGGAAAGCCAGGCAGCCAGTTCATGCAGTACCAAAGATCCAGAAAACGGCGATGATGAGGACGCAGACCCCGAGAAGACGCTTCACCGCATCTCCCAGCTCATCGTTGCCAGCGCCATGTGCAATTCCCGCTCGTGCTCACCCGCCGCCCTTCAACTCACCCCCGACCAGTCCAATGGCAAATCCATCCAGATCACCTCCTGCACCTCCGACTCTGCTCCAGCCACCATGAAGCTCATGAACTCCGACGGCCAGGTCAGCCGCCACGAACTCGACACCATCATTCATCTCTTTCTTATGCCCTCCGGAGAGAAGGAGCTCAACATCCCCGCCGCTCTTCGAGCCCAGACTCTTGCCGACTTGCAGAAGTCGACTCACCCCTCCGCACTCAAACCAGTTGCCGACCATGTCTACGGCCTCATGCACAACTGCTCCCACCGCAACTTTGTCCGCCTAGGAGTAGGCAATGGGACATTCGAGACAGTCTGCGTGGCAACCATGCTGGGCATTGCCAATCTCATTGCCGGCTATGTCGTCGTCATGTGCCGCGCCTTTGTCCCCTACCGGGGCTCCCACACCCGATGGGAGGCCTGGGCGGCGTGGCCCAACTGGTGGCTTGGTGTCTCGCTCATTCTTGCTGGCCTGCGAGGCAGCTGCTTTTTCCTTTTGTTGTTTTCCAAGAGGCAGAGGCTGCCGTGGGAGAGATTTGATGACAACACGGACAGCGTTTTGAGGAACGAGGGAGGCTTCTTGAAGTCGGTGTCGAGGTTGATGATTTTCGATAGGAGGCTGCGGGTCAAGGAAAAGTATCTGAGGAGGCTACAGAGAAAAATTGTGTTGCAGAGCTTGGTGGGAGGGGCGATCTTTGCGACGATTTGGGTGGCTGTTTTTATTTTCTTGCCGGTTTGGAAGGAGACGGTTTGATGATACCCATTGCTGTTATTGTTGTTCTTGTAATGTTGGTTTATTTGTGGGGGATTTTGAGAGTTGGTGATGACTGATGATGCTTTGGTAGAGAGATGTATCTGCTCGCTGAGGAAGGGGGTTGTACACATACAGATTATACAGTGAGGGTTTTGGATAAGCTCCAGCTGGATCGATCCACATAAAACAAACATAATTCTCTTTCGTCACTAACATCTTATTCATCTCTGATATTGTATACTTCTGGTCCATTCTGATTTCCCATGCTACCTTCCTTGACCATGGGTGTTTGCATCGTGAGTGACCTGATTGGAGCAAATAAGGTAGCAGAACTGAGGGCCAATAGAAGGTAAAGGTGAGCAGAGGACCATGCAAGCAAACGACCTTGCCCAGTGTCTTCAGGCATCACCTGGTTTTCGTTCCTTGCAGACTATCACAGAGAGAGATCCCGATATTGCCAACCAAAACACAGACCCAATCAATCCCGCCGGTTCATCAGGCATCATCACACCTACCTTACAGGATCGTGTTTCTCACAGGAGAGAAACACCACCGCCTCCTCACCAACCAAGATCGACGTAGTCGCCCTTCGCCAATCACATTTACCACACCAACCACCAGTTTACAGTCCGTGTCAATGTCAACAGCGCCACCCCACCGCATCACCCAGCGCACAATTTTGTTCCGGCACATCGTCGTCATCACTGTATTTTCCGTCTTCTTTCTCGTCTTAGACTCGTTCTGTCTATTCCTTGGCTACCTTACTCACTCCGACTTCTTCGTTACTCCCCTTATTATCTCTGCTTTCGCCGCAACAGCGTACGATTTGGTCCCGTTGTTTTGGTCGGTATATACTTGAATCTCCTCATGCAATAGCATCTGGTAGCGTTTAGTGTTAATTTTTGGGATGGAAGGACCGGGTATCTTGACTGGAAAATGGGAGTGGGCTACTTTGTGGGAAACTTGATCTGCGATGCGGTGGCGTTGATGGCTCATACTAGGGTGATGCTGTGTGCGTTTTCGTGGCACCTAACTGTGGGGAACGACCTTGAACCTTTGAGACGTAATGGCAGAGTGGCTCTTTGGTTCTTTGTACCTATTGTTCCTGCTATTGTGTTATGGGGATAGAACAGTAGTAGTTATGGGATGGATGGTTTGGGACCGGATGCCGGAGAAGGAGCAAGAAGTGAGGGTGGCTACAGAAATCGTCGTGCGCCCCTATATTAATTGGCCGCAACTACATCAGGCATTTACATAGGCCTCGCAGAGACTCGCCTACTGTAAACCAACGCTTGGCTTCTCATCACCACTTCAACTACCACTTTAACCACCACTTCCAAACCACCAGAGTTGAATATCACGGCTAAGGACTAAATCCTCAGATATACGCCCAGTCACATTGGAAACAACAGGAAGAGCTGGCTGACGTTGAAAGCGACAGTTTTCCCAGACAAAATGTAGGGTTGCCTGTGCACGAAGACCCCTCGGTCAATTGTTGACTTACTTGCCCAACACGGCTACGGCCAATTGATCTAGGAGCAGACGCCAATTTCTGTAGCCACCCTCGCAAGAAGCAACAACTGCAGAGGGGACGGCTGAAAGCTGGGAGGGTGACCGAGTAGAGACAAGAAGAGAAGAATTGGGTGACGGTTTGGTGTGAGGGGGCCTGAAGCGTTGTGCATGGTTCTTGTCTGATCATCAAGCCCTATCAACGACTAAAGTTGATGGTTTGGCCTTGAAATCATCCACCAACTACTTGATCAGGCAACGCGGACATCTTGGTGGTGGTGGACTGTGATAGTCTTGCAAAAAGTCTAACCCCTCTTTAATCGCCCTGGATTTATTTATCTACGATCTTCGATAGGCATCTACTAGGCTCACCAAGTCTGTCTATACCTCTCCAAGTCTACCCCCCCCCCCCTCCCACTCAACAGCCCTCCCATCCCACCCTCTCCCCCATCTCTT